ACACATAGAGTATGTAGTATATCTAGCTTTCATTTTCTTTCAAATCACTACTGGTACTACATAAAATTATAGTATAATTAAAATATTTCTAATTATTATATGAAGGAAGTTTCTTAAATAATTGCTATGCCCATCATTTTTCCATAGGGTTCCTTGTTTGGGGTGGAGTATGGTTTGGGTTTTTACTGATATCCATAAGACTTCTTAAGTAAAACCAAATCGTAATAAAAATATTGTATATGTATTTATACTTTAATTTTCACCCATTTCTATTATTTTTTGATCCCTCCCTCTTTATACTTTTACAAATCCACATATGTAGTTCTATGTCTTTTTCAGTACTGTATCTCCAGGGCCTACTGGTTATGTCCTTAACCCATTGTTGAGGGATGGATGATTCTAGAAGTATTACCATTATTCACATTGGACTACTTTGCTTATACTCACTGAGTCTCCAAGTCTGAGCAAAATTATCAACAGCTTCCTCTGAGAGTAGGAAGGTTTTAGCAGCTCCATAGGACCATAGTGATATGCTGCAATCACGGAGTAAATAGAGGCTTTGACCATCTTTTGTATTGTTTTGCTAGATGTATTACACTGTAATCAGAGAATGTGGCTTCTGTGAGTTTTAGTTTTTGGAAATTGAGATTTTTGTAGCCTAGAAACACATTTAATTATTAAGGACTGTAGATATTTAATGTAAATGCTCATATGTATTTTAAATTATAGTGCATACAGAATTCTTTTATATATCTATAGAGTCAGGCTTATGCACTGTGGCCTATAAAGTCTTACCTGATAGTCCTTCATTTGACCTCTAAATTCATCTCTGTCTACAGTTTTTAAAAGGTCCTATTAATAGGAAGATAGGACACATGACAATGTTATTTAAAGTAATTTAAATAAGTCATACTTAACTAACACAATTCATACAGGTCGAATCCACACAGAGTATGATAAGGATTCTTGGACTGTCTGCAACCTTACCCAACTACCTCGATGTTGCTACGTTTTTACATGTTAATCCGTATATTGGACTTTTCTACTTTGATGGCCGTTTTCGACCAGTGCCTCTTGGACAGACATTTTTGGGGATTAAAAGTGCAAATAAGGTAAATACTTTAATATTTATACTTTTATTTTCTAAAAACACTTTTGCTGACCTAAATTTTGGGATTGGAGACTCCAAAGACCATTTCAGATGTCACAATGTGGTATCTTAGACAAAATCGAGCACATTTCCTCAGCTATTTGTAGTAAAGTCCTCCTGCAGAAAGTTGCTTGTAGTAGTTTACATTACTATTTTTAATTTATATGGAAAGATTCAAAAAGTTATTTAATTAAAGGGCATTATAAAAATGCAAGCTTTAATTAAACCATTAATTTTTTTTATATAATGTTCATCTAAAATAATATGCATTTCATGTGCAGTTGAAAAAAAATTTCATGGTACCAACTACCCATTATGGGAGGTGTTATATTTAACTTACAATGTTTTGTAATTACCTTATTAATTATATATATATATAAATGCTATTTCTAAAATTCTATATAGTACATTAAAAAGTTTATGTAATTTCTTAAATAGTATACCATGCACAATTTGCATTATTCGAGAGTCTATTAGAGATTTACTGTAGAATATGAAGGAAAAATTTGGTTAACATTTAAACATGTATCATTCAGTTCAACAACACATTTTTTGTAGAAGAAAAAGCTTCTGAGAATGCCTGAGAATTGGGAGGATATTCTCAGGCATTATTACCTGTTTACTAAAAGAGAACAATATCAAATGTTAACTTTGGTCTTTAATGTATTACATTTTACTTTTTGTCTAAAAACAATTTCATTAGTAAAATAGAGTCATTTTACTTTATTCTGTAATGAATAAAATATTCAGCTAAAAATATCAGAGGTAACTGTTACAAAAACAGTTGATATGTTCTAACTGCATTGCATAAAAATAAGATATCTTTAGAATTATAGGGAGTCATTTCAGATTTATGCACAAAAGGATAGTTCATGTTATAATAGTTACATGAATATTTGAACCTTCACCATTTCTAGTGCTTTTCAATAATACTTCCTGCTTATATTTTTAGTTGTGGCTTAATATATATTTAATTATTTAGTTTATTTTAATGTTGCATTAGATAAATGTGGAATTCTTTCTTTTTTTTTTTTTTTTTTGCAGTTTTTGGCCAGGGGTGGGTTTGACCCCACAACCTCCAGCATATGGGGCCAGTGCCCACTCCTTTGAGCCACAGGTGCCGCCCTGGAATTATTTATTTGTATAACTTTAGAATGTTTTCAGCTTTCTAATTTAAATGATAACAAATTGTTATCAGAGAGAAATATAAAGAAAAGAAGATTGTTTCAAGTGCTTGTCAGCCATCTTTAACTTTATTCTCTCTCAATTGTGTCATACAAATTGGTAAATAGCTTAAATCAAATTAAATTCAAAGAATTTTTCACCATAATGTGTTGCCATTATAATCATGAAAGGAGTAACATTAGATGATGAACTGTTATAATTATTTTGAAAGTTTAGAAATTTGTCAAAATTTAGAAAAAACTTATATAATATAAACAGTAACTTATATGTTTGTTATAAATATAGATGTTTGTCTTATTAAAATTTATTAGTTTACACTCAGTAGAAATATACACATGGTAAACATTAAGCATTTCCCCCAGAGTGTCATTCAATATGTTCTGTAACCAGTTGTTAATTTCTCATTTCATAAAAGTGCTACCCTTGAAGATTTCTCAGAGTTTTAGTCAGAAACTCAGGAAATGATGCAGTCATTATGAAAGACTGTGGGGAAAAGGTGTGAATGATACATCTAATTTGAAATAATGGCTTTGGCCAGAAAATCTAAAGTCCACTGAAAAAGGTTTTGAGATTTGTGTGTGTAGTCGGGATTGTTTTTTAAATAATTAATAGGGCACAAATTATTCTACAATCTTCCAACTCCAGTTCTAAAATTTTAAATTGTAAACTGTATCTTATTGAAACCAAAAATACACATCATAGTTGTTTTAGATAGGCATGATACTTTTCATCCTATCCAAACTCTTCTAAGTAAACGTTAAGGAAAGGGGTAGCGATTAGGTCACATACCTTTTCCTTTGGGTTAACTACTTTACCTCTGTGGTTAGAAACTGTCATTAACAGGGACAATAAGACCCTTTCTTAATTCATAAATGTTATATTTCTGATTATTCAGAATAGTGTTTCTGTAGAAGAATAATAATCCTTTCCACATAGATAACAGAAATAATGTATTCCCTTACGTTTCAGATCTGTATGTCATTTTATAATCAACCTATAGTATGCTCCAAACTTTAATAATTATACAGGACAGGATTATTGGTTTATAGAATGAAACAGAAGAAAAACAGTCTAAAGAATGGGCTTTTCGGCTCGGCACCTGTGGCTCAAGCGGCTAAGGTGCCAGCCACATACACCTAAGGTCACGGGTTCAAATCCAGCCTGGGCCCACCAAATAACAATGACGGCTGCAAACAAAAAATAGCCAGGCGTTGTGGTGGATGCCTGTGGTCCCAGCTACTTGGGCGGCTGTGGCAGGAGACTCGCTTGAGCCCAGGAGATGGAGGATGCTGGGAGCTGTGATGCCGTGGCACTCTACCCAGGGGAACAGCTTGAGGCTCTGTCTCAAAAAAAAAAAAAAGAATGGGCTTTTCTGGGGACAATATAACTTATAACATTATTCTAAAATATCTGTAACTAACTAGTTACTAGTTATTAAAAATACAGTCTTTTAAAAACTTAGGACTCTTAGAAAGTTAGTACTCTGAAACTGTTGTCTGAGGTATTTTGTTTGTATGCTTCTGATGGTTCTTATATACTAGATTTTTTTTTTTTAAGAGACAGTCTCATTTTGTTGCCCTTGGTAGATAGAGTAAGGTAGCATCACAGCTCACAGCAACCTCCAGCTCTTAGGCTTAGGCGATTCTCTTGCCTCAGCCTCCTGGGTAGCTGGGACTACAGGTCCCCACCACAGTGCCCGGCTATTTTTTGTTGTTGTTTTTGCAGTTTGGCTGGGGCTGGGTTCAAACCCGCTACCCTCAGTATAGGGGGCTGATGCCCTACTCACTGAGCCACAGGCACTGCCCCTATATTAGATATTTTATATCATTTATTGTGTCTGTATTTTAGTCTGAAAGTTTAAAAATAGATTGATTGTAATTGGCAAAGATTTTTGTGTAACTAGGAAGTTTATATTTGTCTTATTTGATATTTTTCATGTTTTAAAACCCTTTAAGATGCAACAATTGAATAACATGGATGAAGTGTGCTATGACAGTGTTCTGAAGCAAGTCAAGGCTGGACACCAGGTATGCTTAGTTTATTCTGTCTTTAGACTGTGCTCAATTAAAAGTTATTAATGTTTAGGCTTTTCATAAGAAAAATTTTCTGAATTATGAGATGTTGTCTCAGAGTTTTTAATTCTTAATAATTGTTTTAGTACAATTAGTAAGTCATAAAAATATTCATAGATAAGATTATCATCCCAATATTGAGGTGATGCTATTTTATTTGCCATTTTTATTAAATATTTAATGAAAGAAAGGATTTTATCTTTTCCATTTCTGTTTTTTTCAGTCTTTTAAAAAGTACCAATCTTTTCTCATACCTACAACATTCTAATTTGTGTTTTTATTTTATAATATAAAAATTTTAAATGTATTCTTACTCTTTTCATGAAGTATTTTCCGTTGAAATATAATACATAATAAAGATTTATGTTGTTTTCTGTGGTATTTAGGAATTAAGTATTAATAATTTTGTTTTTGAACTTTCCAGTGTTCAAAATGGAGATTGTTAAAAGAAATAATGAATTGATAATAATTGCTTATATAAAATCATTCATTGCTCAATTGTTTATGTTTCTTTGCATAACATTATTTTATTATGGGAATTTTTTATTTTTTTACAATGTTAGGCTTTAATGACATTTGAAGTGGTTTTTATGGCCCTTTGTTTTTTTAAATTTGTTTTAAAGGAGGTAGAATCCTTCTTTCCCAGACTAAATCTTATTTGCAGCCCCAAAATATAAGGTAAAAGATAAATTGGGCTTGAGTGGAAGAAAGACTGCCTTGTGAACATCCTTGAGGCATTTTGTCTCTTTATAGGAAACAATTTTAAAGTTAGGTTTTAATTGATCTCTAGACAATGTGCTTGATTTTATTTTTATTTATTTATTTATTTGAGATATAGTCTCACTAGGTCGCCCTCAGTAGAGTGCGGTGGCATCACAGCTCACAGCAACCTCCAACTCTTGGGCTTAAGCGATTCTCTTGCCTCAGCCTCCCAAGTAGCTGGGACCACTGGCACCCACCACAGTGCCCAGCTATGTTTCATTGCAGTTGCCATCGTTGTTTTAGCTAGGCTGGGCAGGGTTTGAACCTGCCAGCCTTGGTTTATGTGGCTGGTGCCATAACTACTATGATACAGGCGCCAAGCCAATGTGCTTGATTTTAATAATAACTTGTAAAGAAAAGAAATAAGTATTTTAAGTTATAGAATAATAATAGTGGCTGATTTTTCCTAACTATTAAGACATGCCTGAAACTGATAACTCATTGAATTCTCTTAGCCCCCTATGAAGCAGGCACTAGTATCTTCACTTGACAAACGAAGAAAATGTCTGCGCAAAATAAAGCAACATGTTTAGGTTATTCTACCAGTATGCTTTCAAAGTCCAGCCATAGAATCTCTGCTAATGATAATACCACGTCGCTTTATTTGCATTCACCTTATATCAGTTTTCTTCCTGATCCTCATCAAACTGTTCTGTGAGTTGCATTAGTTTTGTGATTTTGTGAGGGGTGTAAATTCTGTGTCTAGATTCATTTCTTCCATTTGGATGTCCCTTTGTTGAAAGACCATCTTCACTCCTTACTCCTTTGTCAAAGATCATTTGACTGACTTACTGTGGGTCTATCTCTGGGAGGTCTGTTTTGTTCCATTGATCTCTTTGTTTATTCTTTTGTCAATACCACCTTGCCTCGATTACTGCATCTCTATGGTAATTCTTGAAGTCAGATAGTGTCTGTCCTCTGCTTTTGTTCTTCTTTTTCAATATTGTGTTGGCTATTCTATGTCTTCATTTAATTTTGAAATGCGATTTAAACCTGATCTTAAATCATAATTTTTAATTAATTGACATTTTTTCTATTACCAGAGAACCTTTTCTAGTCTAAAACTTTAATTATAAATGAATATGTACTGTTAAAAATCTTTCTTTATAGATAATGAAGATTAAAATATAAATACTATGGAACATACAGTAGATATTTTGACTTCTAACTGTAGTCAGGAAAATACCTATCACTTCTTACAGTATTCTTTTTTCTTTCCTTTTCTCCTTTCTTTTCTTTGTTCTTTTTTTATTTTCCAAGAGTCTCACTAAATTGCCAGACTGCCTTAAACTCCTGGGCACCATCAATCCCTCTGTTTCAGCTTCCCAAGTAGCAATCAGTTATTCTTCTATAACCCTCAGCACTTAATAGTGGCAAATGAAGGGGGTGGGGAAGGTGTCAGGGATGTAGGGAAACAAACTGTCCCTGACTCCCCACCCCATTGCTATGTGACTTAATGACTGACAGCTGAGTACTTTGCTCATGTATAGTTATATGTATAATAGTATGGATAATATATTTTTAAAAAGAGCACTTGGTGCAAACTTTTTTTTAGTGATACCAATAAATAACATCATGTATAAATATACACCAATATATACCGTTATAATTTCTAATTAATAGACATAAATAGCTTAATAATGCTATTACTGACAGTACTGCCCCTGTTTTGTGACCTTAGAAACTGTGGTTCACTTATCTTTTTAGGGTTATAGGCTTTGTCATGCTGTTTATAATTATTCTTTAAATACATTTGTTATATTCCTCTAGCTTTATATGAGCTTACGTTGTAAGATGTTTCTTTAAAAAGTAAAATGTAGGTGGCTGGTGCAGTGGCTCATGCCTGTAATCCTAGCACTCTGGGAGGCCGAGGCGGGTGGTTTGCCTGAGTTCACGAGTCTGAGAAAAGCAAGAGCAAGAACGAGACCACATCTCTAAAAGTAGCGGTGTGTTGTGGCAGGAGCCTTTAGTCCCAGCTACTCGGAATGTTGAGGCAAGAGAATCACTTGAGCCCAAGTGTTTGAGGTTGCTGTGAGCTATCATGCCATGGCACTCCACTGAGGGTCATAAAGTAAGATTTTGTCTCAAAAAAAAAAAGTAGCTTTATCCCTAAATGTTGAGAGAAGTAGCAGTTATGTCTTCCATAGTAGGATAAAAATCCAAATAAATATTTAAAGGATTCTAGGAAGACTATTCCCTCTTTCTCTTCTGGCATAGTTCCCTCACTGTAATAGGAGCTAAGATGTGTCTTAGAAATCAAGATTTATAAAGTACAGACACTGGAAGGGGCGTTTAATGAGTAGAGATGAGCTCTTACTGCCAGTTATTTTGTGTTTGGTGTAAATCAATTCATTGGATTACTTTTTAAAATCAAACTGATTGAGCACAGGCTCTTATTACACAGTAAATTCTGGTAGTACAGAGTTGCTTAGAAGACAAGTTTCATAGCACTGTGGCCGGGTTAGAAAGGACAGAGTCGCAGGGGATATCCCAAGAAGGCTTCAAAATGCCTAGGGGCACAAGGAACCTGGGAAGGAAGAATTCACAGAACTGAAGCAGAATTGAAGACCGCATTACCTGTCTTGTCTGCCTTTTGCATGTGTATCGTGCGTCCAGGATTGCCAGCGGTGACAGAATGTGTGGCCTCTAAGCTGCCTTCACCTTCTGCTCTCATCTGTCCAAAAATGTACTGTGGGTAATCGGGTAAAGCATTAATATAGTTTAAAGGCCACTGATAAACTTTTGGATCTGAGATCATGTCAGCATCTGTGCTTAAGTCCTTCTCTTTTAACAAGAAGGTTAGAAGGAAAACGATGACTGATTTTTAGGGTGCATACCCAAAAGTGAGGTTTAAGATCAGGCTTCATAGTTTCTATTTTTGAATGATTAGTGACGTTTGTTTTCCATAATAGGAGGACTGACTTATGTTTTATAGAAATACCTACATACTTGCTGTGCTTTTTTATAGTTACAAAAATAAATGGCAACATTAAAAATTTTCTGTATGTTTTCTACTATTTTACCATTTTAACATTATTATTATAATTTGTATGTATTTCCCACTAGTCTTTTATCCATTTGCACATGTGGCTTTTAATTTTGTTCATTTAAATTTAATTTAAAGTATTAGTTATAATCCATTACTAAACTATATTGTATACATGGTTTTATATTCACACTTTTCCTTAACAAATAATAAACATTTTTAATGTTTCTATGTAGTCTTTACAAATTTTAACATCTACAATAGAGAAAAAGGAGTTTTCATTCAGGTTCTAATTTTCAGATACCATGTAAATCTCTTTGGACTTTTCATCTTCCCAGTTCTCTGACATAAGCATGATTATTTCCTTTTGTTAATGGAAGAAATAAAACAGAGACCTGTTAAGCAGCTTCAAAGATCATATAGCTAATTAAGGACTTAAGACAGGTCTTTGTGTTGACAAAGCCCATAATGTCTTTGGGACTTTACACTGTCACTTTGACATTAAAGTAACATTGTCTGGTCTCCTATTATTGGTTTATCCCTTCATTTTTAAGTGTGTTAAATGATTGTAATTTTCTGTTATTAAAGATTGTGCCGCTGTGGTGATATTTTTTCTACTTAAAGATATACCTAAAATGGATGTGCAGTACACATAGTCACATTTTGTGGTCTTTTACACCACCCAATAATGCATTCCCAATGAGTTATAACATTTTGTTGTCACAGCAGATCTATATATAGGATTTTATAAACATGTGGTATTTCTTCTGAATAGTATTATCAATGAAGTATGATATAAGGTTATAACCTAATTATCTTTGCCATTTTTAATTTTTTTCATTCTTAGACACGTAAGACAGAGATGTCATACCAATAATTTTTTTTTTAATGGGCAGTTGTTACCATAAGTCATGATTGCAGTAACACATGTATGTATACTATGTTATTCATGCTGTGGTTTGGACGTGCACTTACTCTGATTAGAAAAGCCTGCCTTTCCGCCATTTTTGTTTCACACTATGACCATGGTCTTTGGGCCTCTATAGTACTTTTCTAAAATGTGATTTAAATATGATTTAGGTCTTGTATAAATATGAACTAGTTGATATGGCTTATGCCTGCCAACCTTAGCACTCGGACATTCTGGACAGCATTGCTCTTTGGTTGGGTGGGGGCTTCGTGTGCACTGTGAGCTGCTGAGCGGCAT